AAAAAGGTTTTTCTTAAATAAGGATTTGGGCACTTTAATGATGGTTCTCACGCATATCTACTTCTTGCAACTGGCCCTTACTCTTGTCTAGATTGTCTTGTAGATTCTAATTTACTCAATGAATTTGAATGATCAGTGTATGATGACCTGTGTGGAAGAGACCATTTTACAATTTGTGGCACCATCTGATGTTTCTCCATAATCCGTCGCCATCCAATGGTCCACAATTTGAATAGATTTAAAATATTCAACGCTAAAGCACATCGTACATTTAAACAAAATAAACGTCAGTCTTGGCAAAATTTTGTAACCAAGATAAATTCATGTACGCCGATATCTAAGGTATGGAACATGATTCAGAAAATTAGGTAAGGGTTCTATATCTAGTATCCACCACCTTAACTAATGGAAATGAATTATTATATGATACTTCTGATATTGCTAATAAACATTGTGAATCTCTGGCTCAACATTCTTCCTCCTCTGACTATGTCCCTAAATTCAAAAAATATCTAAAGCAGCAAAAACAGAAACCTATACATTTTAATTCAGTTAATTGAGGAGATTACAATGAAATCACTTCCATTCATGAGCTCAATACTGCCCTTGGGCAAGCTCATGATACTGCTACAGGATCTGATAATATACATTATCAACTCTTAAAACATTTACTGCAATCATGTTTAGAAACCATTTTGACATTAGTTGATAAAAGTTGGACGTCAGCAGAATTTCCTTCTTCATGGCGAGAAGCTATAATAATAATAATAATAATAATAATAATAATAATAATAATAATAATGTGCACTTTTAATGCGCTAGCCTCCATGTAGCAGTTTATGCTCAAAGCGCTTCATTCAAATGTCACTCTGGAAAACTTTTTTGAACAAATGTGTCTTTAGTTGCTGATCGAAGAGTTCTGTGTGGATTATGAAGCTGGAGCAGAGTGGAGAGATACGCTGGAGCCTGGTTGTTGCCACATTTGTATGTCATAGACAGCATTTTGTACATGATCCTTGATTAAACTAGAGTGAGTGAGTGAGTGAGTAAGGTTTTACGCCGCTTTTAGCAATATTCCAGCAATATCACGTCTGGGGACACCCGAAATGGGCTTTACACATTGAACCCATATAGGGAATCGAACCCGGGTCTTCGCCGTGACGAGCTAACGCTTTAACCACTAGGCTACCCGGCCGCCCGTGACTGACTCAACCGGAAGCCAGTGTAGATGCTTAAGGACAGGAGTGATGTGTGACGTTCCTGATGTGCTTGTCACAATCAAGGCCGTTTTCTCCACTAACTGGAGACGACCTAGCGCTTGCTTTGAAACCCCCCACAACAATCTGTTTCCATTGTATAGCCAAGACAACACCAAAGACTTAATCAGGTTCTTAGCCGCCTCTGTGGTGATGTAGTTCCTTATCTTGGGCATCAAGGGTGAGGTTTGAGTCAATGATTATACCTAGACTTCTTCACTTCGTCCAATGGTAATGGTTGTCTCTGCTACACTGCAAAGTTGGTGTTTCGTTCGAGTTAGTTGGGCTTCGGTTTTGTCATCATTTATCTGAAGCCTCCTTGATGGCATCCACGACTTAATGTCAATAGAGCAATCAGTAATGTGACTCAGTGATACTGATGTTTCTGTTGCTTTAAATGCATTGAGCAGTTAGGCGTCGTCTGCAAATGACTGCTGGTTCAGTCCATGATTCTGTACCACTATCTGTAGACTATTTGTATACAGTATAAACAACAGCGGACATAGCACTGATCCTTGGGGAACTCCACACTCCATGTAGAAATCTTCGGACTTTAATGATGACTGCTTGTCCTCTACCTGACAGATAGAACCTAATCAGCCTTAAAGCTACACCACCAATATCAAGATCATGAGCCATTACTTCATACAATCGTGCATGGTCAACCGTATCGAACGCAGCCGATAAGCTATAATTGTTCCTATACCAAAACCTGGACGTTATCACACTGATCCTTCCAATTATCGACCTATTTCATTGACCAGCTGTGTTTGCAAATGATATCATTAAAATCAGGATCAGGGAGTCCCACAGGGCAGTATTGTATCTGTTACATTGTTCAGCATAAAAATATATAGTCTTTCCAAAGTTTTAAACGATTCAATTGATGGAACACTTTTTGTGGATGATTTTAACATATCATGTCGTGGTAAAACATGTATACTATTGAAAGACACTTACAACTGTGTCTAAATTAATGGTCGTTGGAACATGGTTATAAATTTTCAAAATCCAAAACAAATTGTATCCATTTTAGTAGGAAATACAAACCTGATAAAGACCCTGATTTAGTTAAAGATAGCACACTAAAGTGTAAAAGAGGCCAAGTTATTCGGTATTATTTTTTATCACCATATAACCTTTTTACCACACATAAAATATTTGAAAAATAAATGCCTGAAAGACGTTTCAAGTTCAAAGTGAGGGAGGGGATCAGAAAACCCTTCTCAAACTGTACATGACACTTATACGCTCTAAACCGGATTATGGCTCCATCATCTTTGGTGGAGCCTGTAAAAGTAATTTAAAAGTATTAGATAGTATTCATCATCAAGGCCTGAGGCTTTGCCTTGGAGCCTTAAGAACATCCCCTCTCAATAGCCTGTACTTAGAAGCTGATGAACCATCGCTTAAACAACGTCGCATAAAATTATCTTTACAGTATATTTCTAAACTTCATTCTTATGATTCCAATCCAGCCAACGATTGTGATTTTAATCCCCCTTTTAAAGAATTCTATAACAAAAACACATCTCTTACTCCACCCCAAGGAATCAGAATACAATCTCATATTTCATCTTCTCAACTTAATCTTGAAAATATAGCCCCAACTGATTGGTAAAACCAGAGGTGGATATAACATTAACTAAACTAAAGAAATCTGATACAAATCAACTCATTTATCAACAACAATACAATGAATTACGAAGCACATATAATACATACAAATCTATATTTACTGATGGATCCAAGGATGGTGATGCAGTTGCCAGCGCCACCGTCGTTGGATCCAGGACTATATAATCCAGAAGACTACCGGATAATTGTGCCATTTTTACGGCTGAATCACATGCTGTGTTAACAGCACCAGAGTACATTAGTAAACAATCAAAACAATCTATTATATTTTCATATTCTCTATCCTGTCTTCAGGCAATACAAAATCAGTCTTGCAAACATCCACTTTGTTTGTTGTTTGCGTCAGCAATATTCCAGCTATATGACGGCGGTCTGTAAATAATCGAGTCTGGGCCAGATAATCCAGTGATTGATATCATGAGCATCGATCCACGCAATTGGGATCGATGACATGCATCAACCAAGTCAGCAAGCCTGACCACCCAATCCCGTTAGTCGCCGCTTACGACAAGCATAGTCGCCTGTTACGGCAAGCATGGGTTGTTGAAGACCTATTCTACCCGATATCTTCACGGGTCTCAAATTACATACAATGATTATAACCCGTGATCATATGTTACATCAGAGATCTCATTCAACAGAAGTGGGACACCCAAGATGGTATCAATAAATTACATGAAATTAAACCAAATATCGGTTACACACTTACTTGGTCTGTCAGTCCAGACTTGAAGAGGTCATTTTACGATGATGTCTTATTAGCCGTAGTAGATATACTCACGAATATTTATTGAAAGGTGAAGATCATCCATGTTATATCCCTTGTGAGTGAGCGAGTTGGGTTTAACGCCGCTTTTTTTAACAGTATTATTGGTTATATCACGGCGTGTAAGCTTAATGTTGGAGGAAAGCCTGAAGTTATGCAGGTCTCAGATGTTTACCACTTCGGTGAAACCCACGAGCACGGGTATGGTGCTGACAAACCTAGAAACATCATCGGGGCGAACCGGGATTGGAACCCACAATCATAGGTTTCTGGCGTGGCTAAGGGACGCAACTCTGCACATGGAATCGCGGCGCCTTTACACCTGGGCCACCCCATATCATTTGTGATGAGAGAATCACAGTCAATCATGTCCTGCTGACTATTGATTTGGCCATCAAAAGGGAAAAAAAATATTTCAAATTATCACCCCTCAAGGATCTTTTTAATAATAGTAATTTTCTTTTAATTATTGGGTTTTTACAAGAAATAGAATTGTACAATCAATTTTGATCATATGTCTTGTATAAAATAGATGACTTTTTAGAATTGGTAGAATGAATTTATAGTGAGTTTGTTAATTGCTGTATTCTCCAAGGGGGTTGACGTAGTATAAAAGTATTGTCCCCTGAGAGGATAACGTAAGTCCATGTCATTCAAATGATATTGCTGCCTACTACACCTTTAAAAGTAGAGTATTTGTAATTTTAATTGTGGCTAACGTTGCGTCCAATCGCCAGATACTGAAGGGATTATGTAAATCCTGCTGGGGTCGATGCAGGTAGCAGAGGTTTTGACCCATGGTCCCCAATGTAGTGGTCTACCTTCAGTTGTTGGCGATCAATAGCCAGTTTTTTATCTTGTATTGTTCTACATAGTGCTATCATTTTTATGATTCCATACTAGTTTTATATCTTTTTCTGTAATAAGTATAGTTATTTTACTGTTCTTCGTTTGCAGGTTTTTATATAAGTTTCAATGTATTTATTATGTTTAACCCTTGATAGTCACGATATGGCTAAAATATTGTCAATGTGATCTAACATTTTAACTCACTCACTCAGTTCAATGCTCAAACTTTATAAAATGTTATTTTCTCCTCCAATATGTCAGTACTCCTCCATCACAGATTTATGGACTATGTACTGCTTATCTGGAGAACTGTTGTGAATATGATGCCTCATGACCTCATAATCCTTCTTGGCATATTGTTTTTGTGCTACCGTCTTTCCTACATGATTATTAGTATCACTTACACATTTCTCTTTTGAAAAGTATGAGATATTTCACGAAACAAATACTCTTTGTTTTTTATATGTCTTGTTTTGTCTGACATGTTTTAGGACACCCATCAGTGGAACAGGAATACAAGGATTAGCTGGGACGAAACGGTAAGAACAGTTTTATTATTCAACAAAAAGACCCTCAGATTTCTGTACTTCTGATACATTGTTTCTGGTCGTCAGATTTTGTTTCATTGTCGTTGAAGTATATTTGGAAGTAACGGTACTATTAAACAGGAGCAACTGCGAACAGTTCAAAACTCCAAGAGGATTTCTGCGAAAACTTCTGGATTGTTTTATGGCGCTAAAAAAGAGTGTTAAGGGACCATCACGCCATCAGCTAGTGACAGGCATGGTAATATATAGTGAGTGACAGAATAAACGTCAATCCTGGAGGAACTATGTTTCAAAAATTAATTCTCGCACACCTTTGTCCAAGGTGTGGAACATGATTCAAAAGATTAAGGGCAAAGGATCCAAATCAGGAGTTCACCATCTCAAAGATGGGAATACACTATTAAGTACAAAATCTGAAATTTCCAACAAACTTTGTGACACTTTGGCAAATCATTCCTCATCATCAAATTACAACCCTCAATTTCAGAGGTTTCAGAAACAGCATGAAAAGAAAAAAAACTAAATTTTAACTCTGATAATGGTAAGGACTATAACGAAACATTTTCACTCAATTAATTATATACTGCCCTAGTGCAATCACACGACCCTGCAGCATGATGGATTTTATGGGTTCTTTGTCAAAAGTTTCTATAACCAAGAAACGTGGCCAATAGTCAGATCGAGTGGGCGAAGTATTTTCGTCAGTCGTCTTTTTTAACCAGGGTATTGGGAAGACATGTCGAAAGGGAAATAATTCTGCACCCCTTTTCCCCACCCACCATGGAGTGTCAACAAGGACAGTCTTATGCTGCAGCGGATCTCCAAGCTGCAAAGACCGGGGATAGAGGGGTGGTATACTCCAGCAAATTTGACGCAAAAAGCTATAACTATCTACAAAATTAATGGCCAGGCTGGTTCGGCCAATGACAAGTAATTGGGCTCTAAGCAAGTTGATTCATACATCTAGAAAAGACATTTTGATTAAATTTATTTTTAAGGACCAAAGTGCAAAAAAGTATGCTTAGGGCATGACATGACAAGCCGATTGATAGAATCGGGCCCATTCTACCGCCCGCCTAGGCAAAGTTAGGGTCGAAGTGGTGTGTTGGACTAAGGAGCACTATTGACGGCTCCGTCGCCCTAAACCACGAGAATACCTTCCTCTGCCGACACAGGGTCGCAGCCAACGGCAAACAAGCTGCCCAATTCGGTCGCCTTTTACGACCAGCATTGGGGTGTTGAGGACACATTTTTGTGTATCTTCCCCGGGTCCCCACGGTGACAGATCCATCCAATTACCGTCCAATATCATTAACATTATCATTGTCAACAAACAACATCCTGTTTCGATCGTTTTCGATCTAGAGAAAGCATATGATACAACGTGGAAACATGGTATTTTAAAAGATTTGCTAGAATTCGGATTGAGGGGCAGATTACCTTAGTCCTTATCTCAATTTTTAAACAAAAGAAAATTTTAAGTACGAGTGAGCTCTACTAGGGGTGTCACAATAAATCAAATTATTGATATATTGCTATTGGTAAGCACTTAAAGTCAATACATCGATTGTGTAATCAGTTTCCGATCAATAGTATCGATTTCAGTTTGGAATATCGATCATTTGAGTTGAGTCACTGAAACATGCTCGCGAACGCAGCTGAGTGAGGATTAGAGTTAATTGCCCTTGATGCTTAGCAACCGGTCTTTCTTAAAGTGAAAAGGCGGAAGGTGACAGTCAAGTGGAGTTGACAAACTTGGGTGGAAAAATCGACTGTTTGGAAGTCTTTTGGCTTTTTATTTGTTGTTATGTTATCACATTCAAAGAAATTCAAACTGTAAAATCCATCTAAAATGATACACGGAAAACTATCGATATTTATCGGAATAGTTGCTTGCAATATCAATAGTTATCGGAGTAGTTTCTTTCAATATCAACAGTTATCGCAATAGTGATTTCCAGACCAATAGTCACCCCTAGGCTCTACCCTGCCTGATTTCGATCAAGATCAGGGCGTCCCTCAATACAGCTAAAAAAACAAGGTAAAAAAATCCGAAACTAATTCGTTTGTTATTAACAAGCGTACAACCAATTGCAAACAAAATATCATTCTCACAGGTCCAATTTTTACAGACGGTCCAAGGACGGGTGGCAAAGTAGGCACTGTAAACACCAAGGGAAATCACTATTTTACAAGCTGCCGTGGGAGTACCTCCATAGGCCAATCATCTGAAGTAATCCTGAAATATATACTGCCATATAACACAACAACCCCAAAAGCAATGTTGTAATATGTATAAATAGATTAGAGTTTTACGTGTTTTTATGCCACACCCCACAGAGTACGTCCGTCATGCCGTTCACTTCTCAAAGGGCACAGATTTTTCAAATACTATTTAGATTTAGAAACATGAAATTTAACACACTTGTAGTATTGGCCATGATCCTCAATTAGTTCGAAAATTGGTGTCTAATATTAATATTTTACAGAGTTAGGAAACTTGCTCCGTGCTTTTCAACTTAGTGCATGGTGTCTGCAAGTTAAACGACTTTACTCAGAAACTACTGACGTTACATGAACGATTAGTGATACTTATCAAGGAAAACTATGAAGTTCAAAAATGTATGCAATAAATTATTGCTCCATACTATACAACTTACTGCACAGTGTCTGCAATTGGGAAAGCATTTCTCAGAAACTATCACTTCAAAGTTGAACCATTTAACATTTTATTAACGCAGCTAGTGTCAGTTTGTTGACGATTGGACCGCTTCTGTTGTTTTGCATGTTTGTTTAGATTCTAACTTAAGACAAAATACAACAAAACAGTTCAAACAGATACAGTTTATTAGCACCACCTCAAACATTTGTTGTACAGTAATTATCCTTTATGTTTGAAGGGAGCTGCAGCTTTGCTGGGAGAAATAAAGGACATGATACGTCCATTTAAAGAGAGACATCACGCCCTGAATATTCTGGTCTTTGGACCAACAGGATGCGGCAAATCGTCGCTATTAAATGGTTTGAGAACGTCTTGTCAAAGGAAGACAACCGTCGCCACGTACTTTCCAGTGGGAACAAGTCAAGACGTCAGTTTTACCAGGGATGTGAGTATGTTATGAAATGTACATGTTGTGTAATGGTTGTATGTTGGTTATGTATGCTGACTATAGTCATAGACCCTTATGACAATGTCAGAACGTGGCTTTGGTTTTTTTAAAGCTCACCTGACTTAAACTCGTGTGGGATAATGTCGTGGTTTGTTTGTCCATTATGCTTTGGCTGATATCTTCTCTTTTGCACTTTTTCTCCAAGCTCTTAATTCTGTCAAAATGTACTGCAGGCTATGTTAACATCGTTGCCACTTGACCACAGGCACGTGCGTAGTCTCGTTAATATTTTTAGATCAATTATTATCACGAATGTCAGAAATACATTATCCTCTTATACCTTCACACAAGGCCAGACACTCTGTATAGCACCGCTCGCATTGTATCGCCGTTTCTATAGTATAATCGCAAATCAGGCACAAAAAATTCATATCTACCCTGTCTCGGGTGATTATTCTATTGATTCCAATACATGACACATCCCAATTCTTTATTGCTATAGGGGGCGGTCGGGTAGCCTAGTGGTTAACGCGTTCGCTCGTCACGGCGATGACCCGGGTTCGATTCCCTACATGGGTACAATGTGTGAAGCCCATTTCTGGTGTTCCCCGCCGTAATATTGCTGGAATATTGTTAAAAGCGGCGTAAAACCATACTCACTCACTTTATTGCTATAAAATAATTATATCGACCGAAAGCTGCCGTCTCGCCAATTCGAAACCAACTGGGCACAAATGGCCACCATGACACCCGCTCAGAATGATTGTTTGTCGAAACGCAGCTCTCTGATTGGTCGATCATTTAGTTACCATTGGAAAACGTGGAACGCTCATGCAGTTTTTGAAATTCGTCTGCTAAGCCTGCAAGTCCCCAATCATGACAGCAAGCCAAATGAAATCGCATTGTGCACAACCACCAGTGGCTAAAGTGATGGCGTTAATCCTGCAAGGGTAACATGCAGGAAGCCGAGGTACTGTAAGCCCCTATGATCCCCAGCGCGGTGGCCTAGCTTTGGTTGCTGGTTGCCTATAGCCTGTGTTTTAAAACTGTATACATGATATTGTTATGCTTAAATATGTTTCATAAATTGTTTTTAAATATAGTATGCTCAAATATGTTTCATAAATTGTGTTTAAATATAACATTGTATAAATGAAGAAACTGTGTATGTATCAACATGGTCTCGTCGCTATATGGCTGAAATAATGCCGATGTGACGTTAAATTTCAACTCAGTCACTCAGCCGAAAGAAATCATCTCCAGTCAATGTGTCACGGAATGCCACATTATGTATTATCACCAAAACGTAGTAATGAAGAATCAGTCATGCTTTATTTATAATTGAAGACTGGTGAATGAAATACTTTTATCACGTGTCAAATATTTTAATATCCTTCAACCATATTTGTCAAGGAGTTTTGAAAAAAGACTACACATGTAAAGGTAACTAGTACATAAAGCTACAGTCACTGATGGAGGTAATGAAATGAAAATCCAAAAATTTGAGTGATATCCACTTGATTTAATTAGGTGGTAATGACTTTTCTCTCTTAAATTGGGAGAATATAGTGATATGAAGTCAATAGCGATATGTAAAATATATATATTCGCTGTTAAATATTTAGTGTTCCTGCGGTTCGAATGTTTCCCCCCGGATTATAAATATCGACCAATCAGACCAATCAGACACAAACCCATTCTGTGCGCGTCTGATGTAGGCCATTTGTGCCAACTTGGTTTCAAAGAGGCGAGTGGACGGCCTTTGGCCGATATTTATTTCGTGGCAATAAAGAATTAGGAGGTTTCATGTATTGGAATCGATAGATAATTACCCAAGACAAGGTAGGTATGAAGATTTGCGATTTCACTTCAGAAACAGCAATACAAGGCGAGGGGTGCTGTATGGGGTGTCTGGCCTTGTGTAAAGGTATAATAGGATAGTGCATTTCTGACACTGGTTATTGATCGAGAAATATTTAAGCAACGACACAAGTGCCTGTGATCCAGCCACAATAAGTATCAACCATGTATATATTATGTTTGAGAAATGCACTGTGAACTGGACCAGTTAAACTGCAGCTTGGTATGCTTGTTCCTCCACATGTCGGCCACATGCCTGCCTTTTTTTTAAGCTTTACTGAGGCATCGGATATTGAAATTTCTGATCAAACAACTATCTGGGAAGAGTTGTATGATGCTCTTCGTTGAAATAGCATGCTATGTTATAGGAAGCGGGCCAGGATAATGGTGTACATATCAACATCAAGTAAACAGTTTGGCACTTTCAGTTTTCGTATGTTTTTGTGGTATTGTATGTTCAAATCACGTAAAATGTCACTGTTAATTATTATATTAAATATATCAACTTCAGTCTAAAGAAGTGTCTTTAGTAAAATGAATAATTCAGTGGAGTGAGTAGTTAAACATTTAGCTAATTTGTGGTTAAGGATTCAAACCTTGGCTGCTACAGAATATTTTGTAGAATGTTACGTGTCGACCTCCAAATTGAAACAATAAGGTAACCAAGAGATTTGTACGTAAAAGAATCCAGGTGAAACCAGCAAACAATGGTATACAGTTAACAATTGTATTACACAACTAACTAGGTTAATCATAAATCAATTTAAATTACTGCAGAGCAATAACAATGGCAGTACACTATTGCGTGGCAGTACAAATTTCGATGGCAGTATATTATAAGATAGCAGTGTTAAAACAAATCACCTCGTAGCAACAGTGGTCAAGCTTCCAAAATAGGCCTAGGCTAGATGTCCAGGGTGAAAACAATGATCTTCACACGCCCGCTGGTCTAAATCACTTCTGGAATGTTCTGTACATTGCTGGATTAGTCTAGGTGTCTTAGAAGACTCCCGATTGCACTTGACTCCAAAAGCATCTAAATATTGTAACTTCCATGCCACTGCTTACATCAGATAGTACTTCATTCTTGACAACTAACAATTGTCAAAAGACAATGATTTTCTGATTCTTAACAGAAAAAAGGAATACAATTGGAACATTGTTGACCATGAATAAGGAAAGGTAGGAGTGTCTGACCGTTATGAAGGAAAGGAAGGAAAATCCGACCGTGATGAAAGACAGGAAGGAGAGTGCGATCGAGATGATTGACAGGAAGGAGAGTCTGATCGTGATGAAGGACAGGAAGGAGAGTCTGATCGTGATGAAGGACAGGAAGGAGAGTCTGATCGTGATGAAGTACAGGAAGGAGAGACTGATCGTGATGAAGGACAGGAAGGAGAGTGGGATCGTGATGAAGGACAGGAAGGAGAGTCTGATCGTGATGAAGGACAGGAAGGAGAGTCTGATCGTGATGAAGGACAGAAAGGAGAGTCTGATTGTGATGAAGGACAGGAAGGAGAGTCTGATCGTGATGAAGGACAGGAAGGAGAGACTGACCCTGATGAAAGACAGGAAGGAGAGTCCAATCGTGATGAAGGACAGGTAGGAGAGTCTTATCGTTATGAAAGACAGGAAGGAGAGTGCGATCGAGATGATTGACAGGAAGGAGAGTCTGATCGTGATGAAGGACAGGAAGGAGAGTGCGATCGAGATGAAGGATAGGAAGGAGAGTCTAATCGTGATGAAGGACAGGAAGGAGAGACTGACCTTGATGAAGGACAGGAAGGAGAGACTGGTCGTGATGAAGGACAGGAGGGAGAGACTGACCCTGATGAAGGACAGGAAGGAGAGACTGGTCGTGATGAAGGACAGGAGGGAGAGACTGATCGTGATGAAGGACAGGAAGGAGAGACTGATCGTGATGAAGGACAGGAGGGAGAGACTGACCCTGATGAAGGACAGGAAGGAGAGACTGGTCGTGATGAAGGACAGGAAGGAGAGTCTGATCGTGATGAAGGACAGGAAGGAGAGTCTGATCGTGATGAAGGACAGATAGGAGAGTCTAATCGTGATGAAGCACAGGAAGGAGAGTCTGATCGTGATGAAGGACAGGTAGGAGAGTCCAATCGTGATGAAGGACAGGTAGGAGAGTCTGATCGTGATGAAGCACAGGAAGGAGAGTGAGATCGTGATGAAGGACAGGAAGGAGAGTCCAATCGTGATGAAGGACAGGTAGGAGAGTCTGATCGTGATGAAGCACAGGAAGGAGAGTGCGATCGTGATGAAGGACAGGAAGGAGAGTCTAATCGTGATGAAGGACAGGAAGGAGAGTCTAATCGTGATGAAGGACAGGAAGGAGAGACTGATCGTGATAAAGAACAGGACGGAAAGTGCGATCGTGATGAAGGACAGGAAGGAGAGTCTGATCGTGATGAAGGACAGGTAGGAGAGTCTGATCGTGATGAAGGACAGGAAGGAGAGTGCGATCTTGATGAAGGACAGGAAGGAGAGTCTAATCGTGATGAAGGACAGGAAGGAGAGTCTAATCGTGATGAAGGACAGGAAGGAGAGTCTGACCCTGATGAAGGACAGGAACGAGAGACTGATCGTGATGAAGGACAGGAGGGAGAGACTGACCCTGATGAAGGACAGGAAGGAGAGACTGATCGTGATGAAGGACAGGTAGGAGAGTCTGATCGTGATGAAGGACAGGTAGGAGAGTCTAATCGTGATGAAGCACAGGAAGGAGAGTCCAATCGTGATGAAGCACAGGAAGGAGAATCCAATCGTGATGAAGCACATGAAGGAGAGTCCAATCGTGATGAAGGACAGGTAAGAGAGTCCAATCGTGATGAAGGACAGGTAGGAGAGTCTGATCGTGATGAAGCACAGGAAGGAGAGTGCGATCGTGATGAAGGACAGGAAGGAGAGTCTAATCGTGATGAAGGACAGGAAGGAGAGTCTAATCGTGGTGAAGGACAGGAAGGAGAGACTGATCGTGATAAAGAACAGAAGGAGAGTGCGATCTTGATGAAGGACAGGAAGGAGAGTCTGATCGTGATGAAGGACAGGAAGGAGAGTGCGATCGTGATGAAGGACAAAGGAAGGAGAGTCTAATCGTGATGAAGGACAGGTAGGAGAGTCTGATCGTGATGAAGCACAGGAAGTAGAGTCCGATCGTGATGAAGGACAGGAAGGAGAGTCTAGTCGTGATGAAGGACAGGAAGGAGAGTCTAATCGTGATGAAGGACAGGTAGGAGAGTGCGATCGTGATGAAGCACAGGAAGTAGAGTCCGATCGTGATGAAGGACAGGAAGGAGAGTCTAGTCGTGATGAAGGACAGGAAGGAGAGTCTAATCGTGATGAAGGACAGGTAGGAGAGTCTAATCGTGATGAAGGACAGGTAGGAGAGTCTGATCGTGATGAAGGACAGGTAGTGGAGACTGACCCTGATGATGGACAGGAAGGAGAGTCCAATCGTGATGAAGGACAGGTAGGAGAGTCCTTTTGTGATGAAGGACAGGTGAGAGAGTCTGATCGTGATGAAGGACAGGTAGGAGAGACTGACAGTGATGAAGGACAGGAAGGAGAGTTCAATCGTGATGAAGGACAGGTGAGAGAGTCTGATCGTGATGAAGGACAGGTAGGAGAGACTGACAGTGATGATAGACAGGAAGGAGAGTGCGATCGTGATGAAGGGCAGGAAGGAGAGACTGATCTTGATGAAGGACAGGAAGGAGAGACTGATCTTGATGATGGACATGAAGGAGAGACTGACCCTGATGAAGGACAGTAAGGAGATTCTGATCGTGATGAAGGACAGGAAGGAGAGACTGATCTTGATGATGGACATGAAGGAGAGTCTGACTGTGATTAAGGACAGGAAGGAGAGTCTGATCTTGATGATGGACATGAAGGAGAGTCTGACCCTAATGAAGGACCGGAGGGAGAGTGCGATCGTGATGAAGGACAGGAAGGAGAGACTGATCGTGATCAAGCACAGGAAGGAGAGATTGACCCTGATGAAGGACAGGAAGGAGAGTCTGATCGTGATGAAGGACAGGAAGGAGAGTCTGATCGTGATGAAGGACAGGAAGGAGAGACTGACCCTGATGAAGGACAGGAAGGAGAGTCTGATCGTGATGAAGGACAGGAAGGAAAGACTGATCGTGATGAAGGACAGGAAGGAAAGACTGATCGTGATGAAGGACAGGAAAGTGAGGCTGACAACTTGAAATGATAATTATTGAGAGTAAAAATGGATATTTATCACTCAGACTGTGGCGTGATACGAGAGTGGCACACATGTGGCTAGCTCAGTCAGAGTTAGTACAAACACCTGATTACACACACATTCCAAGAACAGGTACCGTTTGTTAGAGAGGAGAGTGCCGTTTTCAACATCAGAATGCAATGCAATATATCATATTACATGATAAAGAAGATATCACGCTTGTGTGTGTTTAGTGGGTAAATCCTGTATTAGAAATAACAAGCGATTCTTGACGAGCTTAATACAGTGCTCAGTCTTTATATAGGATATTTATCATATCAAAACACACTTAACAACATCTTTATACCTGCGACACAATTGGAATGCTTAAAGATATGATATGTTTCAGGATGTGTTGACTGATCCATTGTATTCATTATTGTTGTACTTCAGTTTCAGTGTTCAACGTGGGAAGACTGTGTTACTCTGTTTGACATGGCTGGCGTGTTTGAATCGCCCAAAATCAAAAGTGAAGACATATTGAATATTGTCCAAGGAAAGGTCCCTTTCACTGGAGAGGTAAAAACATGTCACTGCTTGCCCTGAAATCTTATTTATGACTAGATTTGAAAGAGATAGAGAGAGAGAGAATGAGAGTGAGAGTGTGTGAGAGAGAGAGAGTCTGGACCAGACATCAGACATTACAGTGATTGATATCATGAGCGCCGAACTATGCAATTGGAATACGACCAGCGAGCCTGATCACCCGATCCCTTCAGTCGGCTCTAACGACAAGCATAGCTGCATGTTACGGCAAGCATTGGTTGCTGAAGACCTATTCTAACCTGGATCGTCTCGCGTTCGTTTCTGAATGATTAATTGCTGCAATTATATTACAGATCTATAGTTTATTTACGTTATTCAGGACATAAGTTGGAGTATGTCATTCTTCTTACTAATGCACTAATTGTCAAAAATAATATATATCTCTGATATTGACGAAAAATTAGTATATTGGTTGCACTGAACATTACATTCAGAATAGCATAAACGCGACAAATCCCTATCCACAAACATAAGAATAATCTGATAAAAGCAGAGTAAGAGGCGACTAACCGGATAGGTTGGTCAGGCTCGCTGACTGGGTTGATGCATGTCATCGTATCCCAATTGCGTGAGTCCATGCTCATCTGAATCACTGGATTTAAGTCGAATGTTTACAGACTGCCATCAAAAAGCTGGAATATTGCTGTGTGCAGCGCTTAATAACAAACACACAAAGAGTCCATTTTACGATTCCAACGAGATCATGAGCACGTGTTTTGGAATCACTACCAAATAGTGATGATACCAGATTTGAGAAAACATGTCCATGTCCGTTTTTATTTTACTCTTAATAGGCTGAACAAGGGAGAGCTTTTTCAGGCATCGGCGAGTTTGTAACATTAATTGCTCATATAAAAACATATTTTTCAAATTTCCCTCATCATATGAAGCATAATCTATTATCCATGCTTGACAACTGACATTGTTTTAGAAATCACTCACAAATGCATAGGATTTCGTGGCACTAAGATAATGTTGATCGGAGATAATATTTGTGTGGGTGAGCGCGTTCGGTAGCTTGACTCCAGAGCGTTTCTAAGGCTGAAGCACGAGTTTGTAACACTGAGGCACGTGTACAAGGTTGATTGACTTCTGTTCTGATCCTTACATAGAATGAATCGTGTAGTCGTGAAATGTTGTTGTTGTGGACATTGCATGATGTCAATGAGGTATATCCTCAAAAACTTTAGCCAATTGAGAAAATTATTTCACTGTAACAAATCAATAAGTGAGTGAGTTAATAATTAACGTCACATCTGCATTATTTCAGCCATATCGTGACGAGAAAAGGTATTATATTAAAAAATAGATATATTTAGACTGTATAAAAACCTGTCGTCGAAGGACAGTAAAAGAACTAGATTTATCACAGATTAATATTTAAAAATAGCACACAGTCATAAAAAGATATCACTAAATGAAACGGTACAATATGAAAAAGGGCTATAGATCGCCAGCATCTGAAGGTAGATCACCATGCTAGGGTCCACGGGGACTTACAGTACTTTTGCTACCTGCATGGACCCCAGCCGGATTTACATCATCCCCTCAGCTGTTGGCGATTTATGACAAATTTAGCCACAATTTAAAAGAACATTTATACTACAATTAAAAACGTGGCCGAAATAAATATACTTTGAAAGACGTGGTCTTACATACCAACAAATCAATAAAATATGCAGGGAACATGGACAAACTTGAGGAACATGCAGTGATCAAGTACTTGCAGAAAAACTTTGGCAAACGTAGTAAAATAATCGGGGCGAATCGGGATTCCAACCCACAATCATAGGTTTCTGGCGTGCTCAAGGGACGCAACTCTGCAAAGCAAATCGCTGCGTCTTAGACGACTGGACCAACCGTGCCCCCTTTCAATGTGAGGCTCAGAACGTATCAATCACCCTCTTAGCACATGCTGTAGTAACATCGTTTAAATATGCCTCTGTTCATCAGCAGCGAATGGGTACCCGGTAGGATGAGATGGTTATGTAACAGTTAACCTTCTGGCACCTCGGAAAATACTTGGGTTGTATACTTCCCAGGAAGCTCAGAATGTATATTGATTGCACACTATTCCATTGACCAACTGTTTCTTTTTTTATTCAAGATTAACGATTTCTTGGAACCTAAAACCCTCGAAAGTGCCGAAAACAGAAAACATATTTCATGTGTGGTTCTAGTTTTGAAGCCAGGAATGGAACTTCCAGTAAACCTAAAGAGAATCTGCAGCGTTGTAAGATCATCTGCTGGTAAAGGAGGTACGTACAGAATACATGTTATGACAAACAAGCAGTGATGTTTATAGCTGGAAGGCATACGTGAAGAACATGTTTCATTCTTCCATAGACAGTCTATTTGGTCATAGTGGACTGTAACACTCTTCTAATTTTGAAAAAAAATATAATACAAAATAGAAATTGTACAACAAAAAATAACCTCAAGAAAACGGTTTAAAGGTCGACTTAAATGCCAAATAGCTCTCGTGGACATAGTCAAAGTGAGCTTATGTATGATATTTGTCTTCGTCTGTTCGTCTATTAGAACGGAAAATATAAATGTGTTCTCCAAATCTGGTTGACCATTTTCCATAACATCTTCTACTTTTCCTTATCTGATAAAAATAAATATTGATAAAACCTTTTCGATAATCATTAGACAGCTCTACTAAAAGCAGAGTTCATTATATACACAAAGAAAACGTTAAGCACACCCTAATATATTTCATTAATTTTTGGTCCCAATATTTGTAACAGTCATTCCTCGAGATGATGTAGTCAGTCATGCGTGGCGAAAGCTCACGTGCCATGCATGGTATGCCAGTGCAGCATGCTACCTTCGAGTATCTCTAAAAGCAGTATATCCAAATATCTTTCTTAAGTTCGGTTTTAATCAGTTATTCCATGTTATTGTGTGACCATGGTACGAAGGCGGTTATCAAACGCCACAATATGTCAAATAATCGGCATGCATAACGCAGGAATGTCTTGTAATGCCAATTGTCGGAATTTAGGGTATCATCACACTGTCGTAAGCCATTAAGTCGAGAAACATGTTCAGACCGGTGATGTACACCGTAGTAGTTATTTAGATATTTTGCTCTTAAATCTTCATACACTGGACATACACATAAAAAGTGATATTCATCTTCAGTACAATCAGTTTTACAAATCCTACAAAGTCTGTGTTCTCTTGCAATACCTTCATATCTACCTGTTTCAATAAATAGATCGTGTGAGCCACAACGGAATCGAGAAAACGCTGTTCTAAACTTATGTAAATTTACACTTAATAGATAAGGTTCTAGTATAATAGTAGTCTTAAATGTAGTGTAGTATTTTGCTTTTCTAGAACTGGACAAAGAACAATGCCATTTTTGAATGTCAATATCTTTTAAAGTCTGTGTCAAACGGGAGAAGGAATGTTGTGGCATATCTACATGTAGCTGTAACCAAATATAACCATATCCACATTCGTATAACATGTTTTTAACTTTTGATGCCCAATTTTGTTTCCCATGGCTGTCGTAGAGAAGCATCATATTAAAACATTTTTTCGGGTATCTTGAAGATGGCATATTTAATAGCTTGACCCAGTATTTAATAACCTTTAAAAAACTATTGATATACATGGGAAACCGTCCGCATTCACCATATACCCTTGCGTTTTCTGTGCTAGATTTTACCCCCAAGAACCGTTTACATGCATATAAATGTATTTTCTCAATAACATCCAAATGCTCTAGGCCCCAAATTTCTGATCCATACAATAGCATCGGGCTTTTTTTTGTATCAAATATTTTAAATAAACATCATATGTAACATTGTCCAGAACTCTAAGACTTTTTAACATGCCTACAAAATGTTTCTTGGCTTGCAATGAAATGTTATGTGCATTCCTTGACCAAGTTAGTCTACTTGTAAAACACAAGCCTAAGTATTTATAAAATGGAACAACTTCTACAGGCTTCCTTCTGTAAAACCATTTTTCTTTTCTGGATATGTTACCACCATTTTTAAAAACTACAACTTTGGTTTTATCCATATTTACAGTAAGTTTTGACTCGTCACAATAACTCTCTAAACATGTATTTGCTTTTGCAGGCCAGGTATTGTGCTCGAGAACATGACTGTATCGTCAGCGAAAATAAGCAGAAATAATTTAATAGTTTCAGGGTGCAGTTGTATTCCATCAGTGCAATTATTTTGGATTTGATATGCCAAATCATTTATGAAAAAGGAAAATAAGAAGGGACTTAATATACACCCTTGTCGGACACCCCTGCTACTCACAAAAGTATCCGATATAGCGCCATTGTTCCGGACACACACCTTCACATTTTTATATAGAGAGCATAATAACTTTCCAATTTTGCTACTTAGCTCATGTCTTTGAAAGAGTGACCACAAGTTATCCCTTTTCACAGAGTCAAAAGCTTTTGCAAAATCTACGAATACAGCATATAGCTTCCCTCGTTTCACTGATAGATATCTCTGAATGATAGAATATAGGATAAAAGCATTGTCAGTGGTGAAGTATCCTTTTCTAAAACCTGCTTGTGACTCACTTATCTTATCCAAAGAATCCTCCCAGAAAACAAGTCTCTTATTAATAATTGAAGTAAATATTTTACTGAATGTACTTAGGAGAGTTATGCCTCTGTAATTATTAACATCGCTGGTTGCGCCCTGTTTGTGAAGAGGAACAATAATGGCAACTGTCCAATTTTCTGGAAAATATGATCTCTCTAAAAGGATATTAAAAATTAGTTCCAAATATGGTATTAAAATGTCTGAGGAATGTTAAAAAAAACTCTGCTATCACATTATCATTTCCAGATGCCTTATTATCTTTAAGGTTGGATATGCTGTCAATAATTTCCTCTTTTGATATTGGACATTCAAGAATATCATCTGTTACACTGTCAACTTTATCTTCCATGAATTCCATGTCAAATAAATTGTTATTGTCATGGCTAAATGGAACTGAAAACAGTTCCTTGAAATGCTCAAACCAGGCTTGAATATCAATGTCAATTTTTGCAATATCTATTTGGTTTAATGGCTTTTAGCGATGACCAAAATGTTTTAGAATTATCTATGCTTGATTCCAACAGTTTCTGTTTTTGTTCGAAATATTCTGTCTTTTTTTTTCTACAAAAATCGTTGTACTGATTTCTTACTCTATTATAGTCGGTTAGTGATCCTCTGTCCTTATTCTTTCTAAACTTATTTAAACGTCTACATCGTTCCTTTTTTAAGTAGCTGGCATTCACTATCAAACCATTGTTGGTCATATTTACAGTCCTTATTCATTTTCTTCATATCTGATGCAGCAATAATAACAGCTTCAGTGATATACCCAATACTTTCTTCAACATTAACGAAGGCTACATCTACAGCCTTCTCCAGGAAATAATTCGCAGTCCCAGAAATAAGGTTTATTCTAAACTGTTCAGCCTTCTCTTCACATATTCTACGATTAAAACATGGTAGTTCTAAGTTTACCTTGAAAGAAGTGGAATTGACGTACCCTCTCAGGAGGACAATAATTTTACAATACTTTAACCCCCCTCAAAGATACAGCCACTAACAATATCAGTTGCTAATTCAATCTACCAATCATAATACATTTATATTTTACAATACACAATCAAAATTCTGCAAACAACTTTATGTCCTTTAAAAAAACAATGATTAAACGAGAATTGATATTGTTAAAAAGATCCTTAATAGATGACGATTTAAAATATTTATCCTTGTGATGGCAATATCAATACAGTCAAGCAGGACATGCTTGACTGTGTTTCGCTCATGACAAGGGATACAAAATGGAGGATCTTCACCTTTCAATAAATATTCATTTGTATACCTGCTATGGCCAATATGACCTCTTCAAATCTCGTCTGGCATCCCAAGTAGGTGTAGACAATAGTTGGTTTAATTTCATGTAATTTATTTATTTATACCTACTTGAGTGTTCTACTTCTTTTGCAGTAGATCACTGATGTAAGATCTAATCACGGATTCACTATCAGTGTAAGGAATCAAAGTGAGTGAGTAGGGATTAACGTCGCTTTTAACAGTATTCCAGTTATATCGCGGCGTGTCGGCTTACTGTGGGAGGAAATCCCTAAGTGATGCAGGTCTCAGACGTTAACCACTTCGGTGAAACCAACGAGCACGGGTATGGTACTGACAGACCTAGAAACATAATTGGGGCGAACCGGGATTCGAACCCACACTCATAGGTTTCTGGCGTGCCCAAGGGACGCAACTCTGCACAGCGAATCGTGGCGCCTTAGACCACTGGGCCACCCGTGCCCCCCTGTACAATCTGAAGAGTCATGATTTCAACCCCAACAGTGACATACAATCGGCCGATTGCATGATTTGGAGCCGTATCCAAACTTCTGACACTTGTAACATCGGACTGGATTGGGGACATACTTGTCATTATCGAAGGCAATCTGACAGCACAACGCTACATTGACAATATCTTATGGCCAGTGGTTCTTCGTTTCATCCAGCGTCGACAACGGACGGTGTTCCAACAAGATAACGCCACACCCCATAAAGCCCGTATCACTAGAGACTTCCTTAACGCCAACAACGTGACTGACCTGACGTGGCCAGCTCGATCACCAGATATGTCACCCATAGAACATCTCTGGGACCAGCTGGGGCGTCGTCTTCGGAAACGTCAACATCCTCCCTTTATGAGACAAGCGTTGATCGTTGCCCTCCGTGAGGAATGGAATCGGAAACCTGCAGTCGATGTGAGGACGCTTGTCTACTCATGTCGACGCCGCATTCGGAGATGCATTGCCGCTCATGGAGGTCATTTCCTGTATTGAACGGTCTTGGCAATCATCACCTTAAAGTTGTAACCAATGTTGTTAATCGAATACTGTCGTAAGAAGCGACTAACGTGATCGGGTGTTCAGACTCACTGACTTGGTTGATGCATGTCATCGTATCCCAATTGCGTGGATCGATGCTCATGATGTCAAACACAGGATTGTCTGGTCTAGACCAGGATATTTACAGACCGCCGCCATATAGTTGGAATATTGCTGAGTGCGACGTTAAACAACAAAAATATCTCTCTCCCTCCCTGTCTCACTGCCTCCCTCTCTCTCTCTCACTCCCTCCAAACCCAGACAGCCAATGGGAATTCTCCAGGAAGCGCTTCCCAGTAAAACCTATCAAGAACTTTTCGGAGAACGTGACGACTCCCCAACTCACCTTTTGCATTACCCAGATTGCCAGAAGGGCTGTATTCCTGGTAGCAAACCCGCGTACTCTCTCGGGGTGTGCTGACGTCGCAATGAATTTTTTAAATATTTTTATGTCAACTGTATACGGGAGGTCACAGTACAATGATATGGGAGGGAATTTCCAACAATTCCAACTACCTCATGCAATTGCAAGGCAATTTTAACGACCCAACTCTAGTTCTATTTCCAAATCTATGTTAACGGGAAGAGAATTTATGGATGTCAACTTCTTTATTATGAGGAAACACAACGTCCCGGAGTATATGCTTAATCCTTCATCAGGTGAATGAATGCTATGAGACAGAGAGCATATGTATGTACATGTGAGAACAACAAAAGTAACAAGATAACAAAAGGTGGAAAGTAACAAGGGAGGCCAACAGATAATTGGCGCTGATAGGCGATTAGCAAACGACCAAAATGTACAGGTCCTCCTATGCCCTATAAACTACCGAATTAGAAATCGAAAGAATACATGAAGGCTTGTGTACATGAATACAGCCACATCCAACAGATGGCACATGAACATCCAGCCGATTGGTCTTAGTTTCGTTAAGTGGCTGTCTTTGTTGACAGTTTAAACTGTTGTTTCCATATCCAGGTGAGCTACAGTTGAACCTATTTGATGATATTCATCATAATTGTTTGCCTTTATAATAGGGTTAAAGTAATAAAAATGAAGAAATTAAGTAGGTTATGTATTTCTTAAGTAACAAAACTGTGCTTTGTTGAAAGGGAGATTCTTGTTACATGTATTTATGCAGAAAAGTATGACTTTCAATACTGAGAGCAAGTTAGGTTAAGGGGCTATGTTTGCAGACAAGTAAAATTGTTGAGCTACATATGAGCTACATTGCCATGGCACTTTTCGCTTACTCAAATGCTGCTGATTGAAATATTCTGACAACTATATGAGTGTCTATTAATGTTGAAGCCTACAATGTTTGGCGATATAACATTGTTTCAGGTTAATAAACATTACTGAATTTTAGGTATATATATTGGCTTTAACTGGACTATTATGTATGACCGTGTCTACTTTCCCATGTGTCTTATAGAGCTTTATGTGATACTTTCAGAAATAGCGTGCCATTTGGTGATCACCCACCTGGATGAAGTAGATGATTGCTTCAAAACCCCTCGAAATTTGAATCGAGTGTTTGATGAAATGCCGAAAATACAGAATTCTGTCAAGCAGATGTCTTCTGAAATAGGAATCCCACCGTATTCCATCAGCTTTGTCCGAAACTACAGCCATGAATCACAAAGCGACGTCATGTCCACTGTATTATTCCTTCACACCTTCAAACAGATCCTCAATGCTGCGTGTGAACAGGAAGAAAAAAGGACAGAAAGGGCAGCCAATGCCGAATAGTCCTTTTCTTACCTCGGTTGCATTGCTTCTCCTTTAAGTTGCTTCCATGATATATGTAGCCCTGCTCAAATTGTTCAGATTATTATAAGGTCTCCAAGCTTATTTGTTCAGAAACCTGTTCAGGCTGAAGCTGATACCTAACTTTATGTGAATGCTGCAGATTCCTGTATAAAGTAACTGTGATATAGCAAGATGATGTACACAATTGAACAGAACAGTACAGAATATAATTATAAATAATTTTGAATAGTCTGGCCATGAGGCCAATTGTACAGATTGTTGGATAATATTTGACATATTGTGACAGAGCGCTTCAATTAATATTGGCTTTGGAACTTCTAAGTTTAAACATTTTATCTAAATAAAAAGCTTGCTGAAATAAAATGTTGTTGTCATTTGTTGTGATTAACAATACAAACTTGTGAAGGGTAGGATATTGATAATGATACGAGGGCAAATACCTTATCCTTAAGTTAGTTTAAGCTGGACATATAAATAGTGCATGGTATTCTTCATCTAAGTCTTCTTTACAGAAAGTGCATAGACTGTCAGCATAGGCATGGTCACTAAACATTCTATATTTATGTACTTTGAAATCATTTGAACAACATCTAAATTTTGTTAAAGATCTTCTTAAATTTACAGTCTTAATCGATGATAGATATTTTTCAGGTTGTAGTAAGGATTTGTTAGTGCAATATAAATCTAGCCTTGGTGAATTAGATATACAATCTGACCATTCTTGTATAAACAAATCTCTTGTTCTTTCCTTAAATGTATAAATAAAATCATTACAGTCTCCGACATCTTGCATCAACCATACATAACCGAAACCATAACTAAACAATGTATATCTTACAAATGAAACCCAATTGTTATAACCTAATTCATCATATTAACATTGCATGAAATAACAATGTTTTGGATATTTACCCAGAGGCATTCTTAACAGTTTAATCCAATACTTAATTATTCTCACAACACCATGTTCATACATTCTCGTTCTTCCAAGTTCACCTAATACAGCAACATTTGAAAATTTGTATCCTATTTTCAAAGTATATTTACAAAATTGAGTATGTATAATTTCAATGCTTTTCTTACTTCTGTACACCATATTTCCGCACCATATAGCAAAATGGGTAACATTTTACAATCACATATTTTAAAGTATGTATCAACGTTATCGTCTGGATATCTTACCATCATTCTTTAAATTGACACCAGAGCCTTGTTTGCCTTTTTAGCTAAAGTAACACATGCTTGAGTAAACATATTTCTGCATGAAATTAGAATACCAAGATATTAATAGTATGACACCACTTCAATATGTACAAAATTGTCCTTAACCCACAGTTCCTATTCCTGGCAGGTTAGGTGAATTTCATTTCATTGAATGCATCAGACAGACAGACAGACAGAAGTTTATTCAATATTTTAGGCCATATGACCTATAGTACAGTAGTGTTTTTTTTGTATCAACATTGTACAGTCACGTGTAGGTAATAATAAGTTTACATAAAATATTAACGTCTAATTTCAAAAATGCATCATCTTCATGGAACGCCAAACTAAACGTGTCACTTGCCGACCTGCGTTGTCATGTGACCTATTTTTATTACATCCAAGTGATGGCTGTCGTGGAGCTGAATAATCTTCCCCAAGTTTATTTGTTTTCTGATTTTGTAAATTTGAATTTCTATTTCATTTCAGTTATAATGTAATTCGTATAATAAGAATATATAAAAAAACGAAATCGAATCGATAAAGGAATGTGTAAATTTGTAAGTATCTGCTGGATCCAACTGCGCGGATTCGAACAACAAAATATTTCACATCGGTTATTCGATTCGTACGCCAATGAAACGACTAAGATACACAGAGAATCCTTAATTGTTGTGGCCTTACTCTGGCCTATTGTACTGTTCAAGTTTAGATAACGAGGGAGTGTCTGACGAGTGTCAGCTTCAATGGTCAAACTACTGTTATTGTCTAACATTATATTCATAGATTGAACTTTGATTTTCAGTAAAGATTATGATGCCTTTGTCGCTGCTGAAATGCTGGGTAAACTTGCATGGATACAACAGCTTTCCAATAACTTCGTTTGGGATTTTAAAAGGTGCTGTTGTTCAACGGCGCTCTCAGTAATATTCAAGCTAAATGACAGCACATGCCGGTTGTAAGAGGCGGCTGAATTGGATCGACTGGTCAGAATCGGTGACTTGGCTTTTTGGAGTTATCGTGACCCGATGGCATTGATCGGTGTTCATGTTTTCAGCCACTAGTTCGCCTTGTTTTGACACGATTATTTACATGTCCCTTCATGTGGCTTGAATACTGCTGAGTGCGGCGTAAACAAAAGTCACCTACTCGTTCACACTCCGACACACAAACCGCCAGCCCAAACAGTCGCCAAATCCTCGTATTGACAATAAACCAGGCAATTATCTTTAAGACATTTGTCTCATCAAAATGGTAAAACCATATGACGGGTGAGGACGATGTAAGTCTACACACAAAGTGAACAATCTGCTTCCAATTTCATGTAAATAGAGGATTCATCAAGAGTGTTTTTGATTTGGGATACATGAACTGAGTCTTAGTAAATACTGATTAGCCGAGCTGTTTGCTTTTGGTTATTGTCTGTAAGACATATATATTCAGTCTATACGTTAATGACGTGCCATGACAGCGTACGAGCCGAAAGAGGATTATGCATAAGTCAATGACTGAGAATATTGTTTTCAATACCCTGCTGAATGGGTATAAAAATCCACATCAACGGCTGTTCATACAGTCCTTATAACGGCAGTAGAGGCGGTGACAGAATGCCAAGACTGAATGCAGCTCAACGGAACAACGCCACTGGGAGATTACAAGCTGGAGCAACTCAGCAAGAAGTGGCCAGGCACTTTGGCGTATCCAGACAGACAATCTCCGCAATGAGGACCCGATACAACAACACCAACAGAGTTGACGACAGACCAAGGTCAGGAAGACCAAGGGTGACAACCAAAGCACAAGATTGATACATCCAGCTGCGACACTTTCGAGACCGCACTACCACAGTCACGTCTACAACCACACAGATCCCTTGGGTACGCAGAATATCAGATCAAACGGTACGCATCAGACTGAGGGTGGCTGGACTCTTTGCACGAAGACCTGTTCAACGTCATGTATTGACTCCACGTCATATGGCGGACTGTCTGCCAACAGAGGGTTAGATGGACACGTGCAAGGTGGAGAATGTACTGTTTACTGACGAGTCCCGTGTCCTACTCACCCGTGCTGATGGGCGCGCACGTGTCTACAGACGTCGGGGTGAACGTTACGCCCCCAACTGTGTGCAGCAGGTTATTGCCTGTAAGACATATTCAATCTATACGTTAATGACGTGCCATGACAGCGTACGAGCCGAAAGAGGATTGTGCATAAGTCAATGACTGAGAATATTGTTTTCAATACTTAAAACAATATCTTTATTGTCCCATGCCTTGCCATGAACATATCCAAGTAACATAACCTCCCTATATATACTGAACTGCTAATGAAACGTCACCACCAGCAACATTGCGTGGAAAGTTGTCATTTAAATATCTGGGTAATTTCTGTCAATTTTCTAAAAAATAACATTACCTTGTCTGGAAAAATATAATTTGATGATAAAAAAAAGCTGATATAATCGTGTTTCGATCACGATAGATGACGGGTAAATGTGGGCCCACATTTTAGAAAATGGCGATCAGCACTAAACCAAACTTAGAAGATGTACGGATGAAAACATAAATATATAATGCATTCAAACATTTAATTAAGAATACGTTTTACCTTAAGGATAAGCTTGGCATTTAATAGCTGGACAAACAATGTACAGTGTGGGTAACGCCATTTCTTGCAAATACGAAAACAACGAAGATAGTACCCGAAATTAGAGTGACCTCCCTTTCCCAATATGAACCACTGATAATGCGGTTTCGCCCAACAAGAGACTTCCTCCAGCAGAATGGCATCAGAACCATGCAGTTGCCTGACCTTAGTCCCGATTTTGTTTGTTTGTTGTATAAGTTTAAGTTAACATCGCATCGGCATTAGTTCAGCACTATAGCGACGAGACCAAGTTAATATATTCGCAATTGAGACATTTATGCAAAGTTATAATTAAAAACAATTTATGAAACATATTTCGTTATCACTTTAGTCACTGATGGCTGTGCACAATGCTGGCCAATATAAAATAATACTCAGCAATGAGCTTCAAACACTGATTGATGATAGTTATATAGATTATGACATCTTTACGTGTCTCACAGGGGGACAATCTTTCAGATTTATGCTTTGATAATGTGAATCCCACATTGATGTAAATCTTTTTAAATACCATGTTTACATGTTGTATCGTAAGCTTTTTCAAGATAAAAAAACCTTTATACAACTTGCTGGTTATTTACGAGTGAGCGAGTATGGTTTTTCGCCGCTTTTAGCAATAATCCAGCAATATCACGGCAGACTATTTACAATGGAATTTTTAATGAATGATTCTAAACGAACTAGATGGTCAATAGTACTGCGATTTTTGCAGAAACCACATTGAATATTGGCAATAAAATGATTGGTTTCTAAAAAACATACTAGTCGGTTATTGAGCACGCGTTCCATTGTTATAAAAACGCAGCTAGTTAACGAAATAGGTCGATAGTTAGATGGATAAGTATGATCCCGGTCAGGTTTTGGATTAGGGATAACAATGGCATTGTGCCAAGGAGGAATGTGTCCAGTTGTCCAAATATTATCAAAAATATTTAGAAGCGTTTCGAGACATGGATTGGGTAAATTTATCATTTATTTATTCTTCAAAAAAAGAAACTTGACCTAGATGTAAAACCAGTTTTTGCCAAATATCTAAAAAATAATTACTTTAAATGAGAACTAAATAAGTCAAACAGAAAGATGATGTGTCTATAATTCGCGAAAACACATGCAAAGCACATAAACGAAGCGTTTGGGGATCAATTTTACAGCTTCATCCAAAATCAACCGCCTGTAAACGTGCAGCACAGGATCCTGCATTTAGGCATGCAGGCCCCCCTGCTGAATGGGTATAAAAATCCACATCAACGGCTGTTCATACAGTCCTTATAACGGCAGTAGAGGCGGTGACAGAATGCCAAGACTGAATGCAGCTCAACGGAACAACGCCACTGGGAGATTACAAGCTGGAGCAACTCAGCAAGAAGTGGCCAGGCACTTTGGCGTATCCAGACAGACAATCTCCGCAATGAGGACCCGATACAACAACACCAACAGAGTTGACGACAGACCAAGGTCAGGAAGACCAAGGGTGACAACCAAAGCACAAGATTGATACATCCAGCTGCGAC